TGAAAACAGGAGATTCGGCATCAGAATGTGACATTTTTATCTTAGGCAGCTCTGAAGCCTTCAGAGGTATTTTTAAAGGCGAAACATTCTTAAGCCAACGATCTCTTTCATCTAGGAGTCCTGGTTGTGGTAGCCGACGTTCAGAAGGCGAGAGTAAGTGTCGCCGCTTCTATTTCTGACAGTCCCCGGGTTCCTCGGCACAAAGGGGAAGGCACGGAGGAACGAAGAGCCAGACAAAAGCTCGGCTTAATGCAATCGGCTGCACCCAGAGGCCAGCCTGAGAAGCAGCCCTGCCCTCTCCCGCCTCCACTCGCTCGGATGAATTCCATCTGGAACCCGCAGAGCCAAGCAGCCTGTTCTGGCGCTGTGATCAGTGAACTAAAGAGATAAAGAAAAGCCATCCCTTCAAAGGAACGTAGACAGAGTTGCTTCTGAGGTGAAACTGGCAGCTGGAGGGGCGAAAGGGGAGGAGGAGGAGGAGGAGGAGGAGGAAGGCAGTTAACTCTTTGGGGACAGGAGAGACAGCCTCAAGGGGCTGGGCAGGGGAGCGGTACTTTACAAACCCTGGCCTGTGAGCTTCCGTCCTATTCCTGCGGGGATCGGTGACATCCTGGATCAGGGTATAAGAGGATGTGTTTCACACCGAAAGTGTTAACAAACCCAAGGAGAGAAACATAAGGCACCATGAAAAGATCTTACAAAAACTCCGACAAGGACATTCTTCAACATGCTCCTTGCGGAAGAGAAAGGCGTGCTGAGCTCTCTGCATTAAGTGTGCCACGGGGACTGACCATTATCATTTAAATCCCGATTACTTCACACGTTGTGTTTTTTATACCATACTTTGTAAAAAAAAAAAAAAAAAGTAACCCTTTCCCAGCGAAACATATCTTCACTTTAACCCAGAGGTTCTCAACCTGTGGGTCGTGACCCCTTTGGCGGTCGAACAACCCTTTCACAGGGGTCGCCTAAGACCATCCTGCATATCAGATATTTACATTACGATTTATAACAGTAGCAACATTACAGTTATGAAGTTCTAAAGCAGCGGTTCTCAACCTGTGGGTCGCGACCCCTTTGGTGTTCGAACGACCCTTTCACAGGGGTCGCCTAAGACCATCCTGCATATCAGGTATTTACATGACGATTCATAACAGTAGCAACATTACAGTTATGAAGTAGCAACGAAAATAATTTTATGGTTGGGTCACAACATGAGGAACTGTATTTAAAGGGCCAGAAGGTTGAGAACCACTGCTTTAACCTTTTCAGTGCAGTGTGTCCGGGGTCAGGGCCATTCTGGGATGGTCAGCACTGAAAAAACTGAATAACAGACACGGTGAAGGAATGGAGGCTCTGCAGGTTAGGCATAATCATTTCTTCACAAAAGGACTCTATTCATCGGATGAAATCATACTTCAGATGAGCATTATCTGGGCCCCTCCAGCATGCGCCAGGCCGTGGCTGAGGGCTAGAGCTACAGATGGAGCCAGCAGGCCCCGTGTACAGGAATGTACATGTCTGGTTCCCAACCTGCGGGTGATTGTGCCCCCCACTTCCTCACATGGCCCCTTCCAACATTTGACAATGTCTGGAGACATTTTTTTTAAAAACATTTTTTTACTGATTTCAGAGAGTAAGGGAGAGGGAGCGAGAGATAGAAACATCAATGATGAGAGAGAATCATTGATCAGCTGCCTTCTGCATGCCCCCTATTGGGGACCAAGCTCACAACCTGGGCATGCGCCCTGACCAGGAACCAAACAGTGACCTCCTGGTTCATAGGTCAATGCTCAACCACTGAGCAATAGCAGCCGGGCTGGAGACATTTTTGATTGTCAAAACTAGTAGGGTACTATGCTGGTTTGGCTCAGTGGGTAGAGTGTCAGCCTGTGGACTGAAGGGTCCCAGGTTCAATTCTGGTCAAGGGCACATGCCCAGGTTGCAGGCTCGATCCCCAGTAGGGGACATGCAGGAGGCAGCTGATCAGAAATTCTCTCTCAGCATTGATGTTTCTCTCTCTCCCCCTCTCACTTCCTCTCTGAAATCAATAAAAATATATTAAAAAAAACAACTAGGAGGGGCCCGGCAGGAGGCAGCTGATTGATGATGTTCCTTTCATCGATGTTTCCATTTCTCTATCCCTCCCCATTTCCCTCTCTCTCTCAAAATCAATAAAAAACCAAAAACAACTAGGAGGGTGCTGCTCCTGGCATCTAACGGAGAGGGACTAGGGATGCTACTAAATATCCTACAATGTGTAGGACAGCCCCTTATGACAGAGAATTACTAACCCCAAGTGTCAATGATGCCGATCGAAGGGAAGACAAATGGGTGACAAAAAGTCCAGCAGAGTGAGGCGAGCGCTTTGATCGACACACGCTTAGGTTTCAGGGGAATCCAAAGGGAGAAAATCTTCATTTTTTAAAGTGAAACAAAGATTGGCTTTTTTGGGGGGTAAAACTTTGAGGTATTTTGATTTGTTGTTTCAACTTTTAGCAAAAATTCCCTCTAAGAACAGTTCCCGATTTCTGTGAACAGCATTCATTAGCGCACCCCCACACCAGGGTTCAGTCAGCTGGGTCTGCAAAGATGGAATCAGCTGACTTGGTTTGATACCCGTCTCGTGGGCAGGACTATGCCAGCTGGTGATGGGGACTCTGTGTCGCCCCTGGTCTGCGTTGCTGGAAAATTCTCATTGGACCTTTATGGAAATGCTCAGCAATGATTCTGGATATTTACACTAAGAATCTATGACATTCTTTCTGTCCTCACAAGTTGGAAGGATAGAAAACTCTATTCCCAGCAGACTTATCTGGTAGCAGGGCAGACCAGTTGTCGTAACCTGAGTTCTGTGGGCAACTACTCTCATCTCCTACAATGGCGCTGGCCACGCTCTACCTGGATCCCCACACATCCCTTTTACAGTCTCTGCATAGCCCCATCCATGCCCACTCCCCACCCCCAAGCTTCAGTGCTTTTGTTCCCAATAGCTCAAATCTACACACAAGACTGTCCTTGGGCTACTGTAGACACCTTGCTGCACACGAAGAGAATGGAGAGCCTGCTGGCTGTAGGAAGGGCCAGTTCCTTTGTCTTAGGTCAGACAACTCTGAGAGGCAACTTAAATCCCCGAGTTCCCTGCAGGAGCAGATTGAAGCTACTCTTTGTCTAAGATCATACCTTCACCTGGCTTCTTCCCTCTCCCTTTCTTTCCTCCCTCCCTTATTAGCCTATCCTGGGAGCACTTCCCTAACAAATCACTTGTAGGCAGGACCCCGGCCCAAGACCCTTCCTGAGAATGTATTTGCTCTGGTGGTGGGGGCGTGTATGTGTGTGTCCTTGCACTCTTTGTGACGAGTTATAACTCCATCAGCTGCTGCTTCACACATGCTTGCCCCAGACAAGGCACATCCACACCATCTTACGTTTTCTTCCAGGGAGGTCAGCTGCTCATCCAGTCTCACTTGGTCTGTCCCAAGAGGAAATGTCCCCTTCTCTCTGTCAGGAGGGCCGGGTGGGAACTCCCAGGGCCCTGTCGACTCTGCTATCAACTCCTCCGTGGCATTGATGACTTTCAGGACTTCTGTGGAGATGTTGCAGAGAGAAACAGCAGAATACTTCTGTTTGGCCCAATAACAGAAGGAGACAGAAGACAAGAACAGCACATTAACAACGACGTGGAAATTCTACATTATCATGGCGTTTGTCATGAGATTGCTTCCATTATAACAGACACAAACGTTAATGTGCCAAAGGAACGGGAAGCTAAGCAATCTACACAGCAGCGGGGGACTCAGAGGAGGCCTGATTTGACTTGGCCTGGCTTTTGGGACTCACGCTGAACTATCTCAGAATCTTCGGGAGGGAGGAAGGAAAGCTCAAGAGGAAGCTATCATGTCTTCTGCCCACTGCTGAGAGTTTTATATCCATCACCTCACTTTCTGGATGACATCCTACTTCCTCCACAGAGCTTCGGTCACAGACTCTGTCAAATGCAACCACGGCGTGGTCCAGTGGGCAGCTTTCTGGACAGGGAGTTAGGAGACCTGGTCTCTACATCTGGCTCTAACTTCATCTTGTCACAGGACCTTGGCCAAGTTATATCCCATTTCTGAAACTCAGTTTGGTCATCTGTACAATGAGTGTATTAGAAAAGAGTTCCTCTGCAGGGTCTTGCTAGCCACTGTGTGTTAACTCGCACACACCTGGCCCATTCTCTGGCCCATTCTTCCTGGCTCTCCTCCAGCATAGAGGCTGAACAGAAAAATACTCCATTTCTCAGCCTCCCTTGCAGCTAGGGGCAGTCATGTGACATAGTTTTGACCAATGAGCCTGAAGGGAAAGCCTACAGAGGAGGTTTCTAGAAAAGCTGCTTTTTTCTAACAGGTGAATAGATGCAGCTGATGCTCCCCTTCCCTACTTCTTTCTACTTGATCACAGATGTACAGTTATGAGAAAGGTGAGGATAAATACCAAAATGCTGAGTAACGTGGATCAAAAAGGCTGAAGCCCAGGTAGCATTATCCTTCACTACCTGCTCCTGAACATCTTTGTTATAGGAAAAAAATAATTTCCTATCTGTTGAAGTCACGTGCGGTTCCCTCTGAAAAGGCCTGGGCTCTGGGATCCCTTCTTTATTTGCCTGGCCTGTTCAGATAAAATGCTGGTGGGGATTCGGGGTGCCGGCAGGGAGCCCTGTGTGGGGGAGAAAGGAAAAGTTAAGGGCCCTTTCTTCCCTGTTGCTCACAGCCCCGAGACACGGAGGGAATGGCAAAATCAAGTGCAGTCTGAGAGCCAGAGTGAGCTTTCTATCACAGCAGCTGACATTCCTTCAGATATTAATCATTGGAGGGGTCTGATGTGACAGTGTCATGGCGTCTAATAAGGCAGAGGGGGGAGTGTGGGGAAACCAGCGATGGAAAAGGGGCTACCGCAGACCAGGAAGGTTGGCCAAAGGCCTCTGTGGCCAAGGGCCCCACAGACAGTGGAATGAGAATAGCCGTGAACCCTGGCAGTAACCAGGATCAAGTGATCAAAGAAATGCAAATTAAACAATCAATCTTATTAAGGGCCGGACACAAGTGCGGTTCCCTCTGAAAAGGCCTGGGCTCTGGGATCCCTTCTTTATTTGCCTGGCCTGTTCAGATAAAATGCTGGTGGGGATTCGGGGTGCCGGCAGGGAGCCCTGTGTGGGGGAGAAAGGAAAAGTTAAGGGCCCTTTCTTCCCTGTTGCTCACAGCCCCGAGACACGGAGGGAATGGCAAAATCAAGTGCAGTCTGAGAGCCAGAGTGAGCTTTCTATCACAGCAGCTGACATTCCTTCAGATATTAATCATTGGAGGGGTCTGATGTGACAGTGTCATGGCGTCTAATAAGGCAGAGGGGGGAGTGTGGGGAAACCAGCGATGGAAAAGGGGCTACCGCAGACCAGGAAGGTTGGCCAAAGGCCTCTGTGGCCAAGGGCCCCACAGACAGTGGAATGAGAATAGCCGTGAACCCTGGCAGTAACCAGGATCAAGTGATCAAAGAAATGCAAATTAAACAATCAATCTTATTAAGGGCCGGACACAAGTGCGGTTCCCTCTGAAAAGGCCTGGGCTCTGGGATCCCTTCTTTATTTGCCTGGCCTCAGATACAGGTACTAGGCTCACTCAGTCTTACAGATGAGGAACTGAGGCTTAGAGCAGTGATGGGGTTTGTCGGGGGAAGGAGCCAGGATTTGCACCCAGGCCCTCCTGATTTCAAAGCCCAGGTCTCAACACAACGGCCTGAGGAGCCTACCCCTTAGAAAGCTGGTTCTGACTGTCAGAGAAAAGCACAGAAAATGATTACTGCAGCTTGAGTCAAAGGTCAGAAGGGCCCAGGTGGAGCGGCCGCAGTGGGGATGGAAGGATGAGAGCACGCTATTCTGGAAAGGGAACAGCGGTGCTGGGGCTGCAGGGGGAAGAGGGGGCAGCAAGTGCCGGCGGCTGAGCTTGCCAGCTGAGCGACCTGGAAGAAAGGAAGAAAGGAAGAAAGGAAGAAAGGAGGCTTAAATGCCAGGAGAGAAAGAACGGTCATTAGGCTTTTGAAATAAGGAAAAATGTAATATTTCAAAGTTCCGTTCTTACAACCCAAGGGACAGAATGGTGACCAAATGCCCAAACGGGGCAGCCTCGAGGCATCTGTGTAGTCTCTACCTTGCATCCATTATTTCTGATGTCAAGTTTCCCGAGTGGGTTTAGGGGGCACAATCTTCATAGTTGGCTTTAATAAAAACGAGGAAATGTGGGGCCCTCCAGTCTTCCTTTCAGCCTGGTGATGAATGGATGTTCCTTCGGGGGCGAGAAGGGGGCGGTGGGCATCCCAGGTGACATATTGGCACCCAAAGGGCTGGCCCTTTGGGAGGAACTCCAGGCAGAGGGGAAAAGCCCTTCAGCCATTAAAGTTGCATAAATACATTCGGGGCCACGCCCTCTCCCTGCAGAAGGCTGCTCCTGCGACCCTTGGAGGGGAAGAGGAGAGGAGACAAGGAAGCCAGCTTGGAGTTAATGCGGCTCCCTCCTGTGCCCAGTGTGACAGGCTCGTCATCATTTCATTTAACCCTCACAACAGCCTCACGCGGTGGATGCTTTCATCCCCTCTTCAGAGGTGAAGAGACCCTGGCTCAGTGAGGAAGATACCGTGCTGGGGTTTGAGCCCAGAGACGTTGGTCTCTGAAGTCCACACTCCTCCCCACCTGTCATATCCCCCGCTCCACGTGCCTAATTCCCGGGGCCCGATGGACTGTAGAAAGTGATGATGGAATAGAACTGAACTGAGTAATCAGGCCAGAGAACAGCAGGTCAGCAAGAGAAGGGCCCTCGGGTGGTTCTGCAGCCTCCACCAGGGGACATGGCTCAGAATGAGCTTGATGGTCTGGCAATGACCAACCGCACCACGGAGCCTGAGGTCTACCCATGACAGGCTCTTGGGGCGAGCCCTTCGGAGCCCACCCGGGCCTGGGCTGCCAAGGACAAGCAGAGCGAAGAAGGATGAGGTCTCCGAGAAATTCCGCTCTGAGTGTGACACCATCACTTTCTGCCCCAGCCCACGGGTGCTGTCCCGGCTCTAGGAAAGGCTGCTACCAGACGTCCAGAGCAGGCAAGGACATGTGTCCAAATGCCCTGATCTCATGTATTTTTTTTTCCTTTTTCAAGGGTGAGAAAAGAAACCCCGTATGTCGTCCTAAATAGCTGACAGAAATCTGCTAGAAAAATTCAATGCAAATATGTTGCAATTCTCATGAAACAGAAGGCGCTCTGGCAACGCCTCTACAGCCCGTCAAAACACGCTCTCCAGCAACAGACTCCTGTCCCGAAGAGGGACTTGACGAGAGAGGGGATGAAAGTGGAGCAGGAACCTACTAAGTTAGCATGTGTAATAAACCGAAACAAAGCGTAAGGGAGGTTAGACAGCAGGCCCCTCGGGTGGCTTCTTAGCTCATCCTCATTTTGATGGTCAAGCCACTTATGAAAGAAATAAACCATTTTAAGACGGTAATTCTAGAAATGCATTTTCTAAAACGTGCCATCTGCAGTCTAGCTCTAGAAGGAAAGCCACTGGTCTGTGCATGGCCCTGCCCTTCCGGGGTGGACTCCCTGTTGTTGATGTGGGCCACCCGAGCAAGGCCACTGCAGGACTTGGTGCAGACGAGAGAGGAGGGGCCTCTGGGGCCATGACCTTCGACCAGACCTTGCCTGGCAGGTGTAGAGCAGGTGGGGCTTCCTGTCCTGGCTGAGGAGGTGATTGTGGGCATCAATGTATTTTGCTTTTGTATGTTGGCTATTCCTCCGAAAAAAATGGTTCCCGATACCGACTGGAAACGTTTTCCCACTGCTGGTGGTAACCAGGGTGCCCCCAGGGCACGCATGCAGCTCGGAAGAAGCCCAACAAGACATGAAACCCCCTTCCATGATCACCGGGAAAGGAGGTGGCACATGGCAGCCAGGGTGACTTGATACGTGTAAGGTCCCCCTTGTCACTCCTCCGCTGAAACCTTTCCAGGTGCTTCCCCTCTCACCAGAAGAGAGCGAAATTCTTTGCGTGGCCCTGCCTGCTCTGGCCCCTGCCCTCTCTCACGTCCCCATCACTCTCCTCTTGGCCCCCTCGCTCCAGCCACCCTGGTCTTTAACCTGTTCCTTGAAGCTGTCAAGGTCATTTTCACCTCAAGGCCTTGCATGTGTTCCTCTGCCCGATAAGCCTGTCCTTTAGGTCTTCGCTTGACTTTTTCCTCCTTGTCCTCCAGGTCTCGGTCTCAGAGACACCTGGTCACACCATCCAGGACTCAGCCTCCTTCCAACTCACCGCTGTCATGGCCCCTGCTTAGTCTTCTTCTTAGCCCTTGTCATCACCTGACATCTTCACCTGGATGTATGTCCATATTCCTCTGCTGTTTCCCCCAACAGGAGGTAAACTCCATGAGAGCAGGGAACTTTCCTCCCTTATTCTTGCTATAGTGCAGCTCTTCCTTCAACAAAATTATTTGTTGACTAAATAGTGAATGAACGGGGATTCAAATTCCATTCTCTCCTCCCCAAAGGAAGAAGTGAGCCTTTGTCCCAACACCATGTACTAAGAAGTGATCTTTTCACAATCAGAG